TATATCTACAGCTAAAATTTACTTTTGAAAAATAAATAAGATTAATTTTTTCCGAGGAATTAGTTAGCTCAATCTATTGCCGTGACAAAAAAAAAAAAATATGAATTACTATGAACAATTTTGAATAAAATGTTAAATTCATTTTCCGTTTGGATTCAAAATAGTTTCATCAATTTTGATCAATTTAAATTGTATATATACAAATTTTCCCTAGATGGGCGTGGCAAAACGAAAGCAACTATATCTCTAAAGGCTTTCTAGATCTGGTTGGATAAACTACTGCATTTCCCCGGGAGCTTTGCTAGTATGGATCGTGAACGAGTATTATGTAGTCAGTGACGCCCGACAGCAGCAGTTTCACTTATTTTACTATCAAATTGCTGGGTGCTTCGACTCATGTTAATGCGAAACCAAAGTATAGATCACATTCGCCATTTCATGTTACTTTGCAAGTTTGCTGCAAAAGTTCGGCTGCAGCTGCAGCTGCAGCTGAGGATAGAGATTCAAAGTTTCGGTCAGGTTCAGCATTAACTTTGTCTATTGTAAGCGCGCACTGTTGCAGTTCCTTAGGCATTTAGGCATAAATCAGAGCGGGCCATTAAAGGCGGCCCGCGCGCTCAGCCCCACTCAAAAGCCATAAAAAGTGAGGCGGGGGCACGAGCTATAAATCTAATGATAATTTGATGCGCCACATTTAACGAGGCTTTAGCGACAGTTTGCACAAAGGCGCAGCCACGCCCCGGGCAGGGGTCGACGAACCCGTCGCGCCCGCTTAAGCCCCTTGAGCACAATTAAATGCTGCAAATGCCTTTAAAACTGTTGCATACGCCTCGAACAGGCGGACCAAAAGTACGGAATTCGGAGGCGGATTCCGGAATTTGTTGTTGGCTTGTTATAGCCATTCATTTGCAGTTAACGAGCTTCCTCTTCTTCCGCTCCAGCTGCAGGAGACTTTTTCGGGTGGCATTTAATGCTGTCCGCCAGGTGGGGCCAGGTGGTGCCAGGTGGTGCCAGGTGGTGGCAGTTGACAATGACAGTCGGGGCTTGGCATATTTGAATAGCATTGCTGGGGCATGCAACTGATTTGGCAAACATTATGCAACTGTAACAATTGCTGACAAACGAAGCCAATCAGTCGCCAGAGATAATAAGGTGGGGACGGGCGGTGCGGAGGTGGTGCGATGCGATGCAGATGCTGCCACCTGAGTTCAGTTGCTGACGCGAGCAAATGCTGTGTGCCATCCGAATTGTGAGGTGCTCAAGTCGTATACGTGCTGGCAGACTGAAGGCAGCAATCGAGCTGCTGATTGATCAATGCATTAGCCCAACTCCCACTCCCACTCAAACTATGGCGAGTGGACCAAGTTTTCCCATAAAAATACAAAAAATGAAGAAAACAAGACGAGTGAGCAGACACTCACACGGGCCACATAAATTGTCATGTGAGCGCACGAAATTATATGAAAGATTCATGTTAATGGCATCGAAGTGTTTATGCGGCGTATACTTGATTTTTATGTGCCACTCCAGGATGGGGCAAGAGGAAACAAGTGGCAGAGAAAAACAAATTCGGGATCTGCAGATAAATAATTGAAGAGGCCAGCCACACGCGCTGCCCTTTATGATTACGGTCGAAACGATGTCAATGGGACAAAGGACGTTCTGCTCCAGGGCAGCCAGTCGGCATGGAATTGTTGGCTAAATACTCACGTCAAGTGCCTAGCGCCCAAGTCAATCGCTGCCAAAGAGCCTCTGCTTGCTGACACGGATGCTGCGGCAACGCCTCTGACTGGTCTTTGGCGTTTCGCCTTTTTTGAAATCGAAACTTTCAACTGTGAATTGCGGCGGGCTCTGCTCGGGCTGCACGCACAGGACCGACTGACGACCTGCCACTGGGCGAGACAAAAGCGAACTGAGCCACCGGGCCACTGATGCTGCAGCAGCAGCCAGCCGAGCCCGAAGCCTGCCACACGAAGCCGAACGCACGCGAGTGTCGAGCCCGTGCCCCGTGCCCCAAGCCCCATGTGGACGGCCGTGCAGACAGCATTACTGCCGCTTAGCTTTGGCCCACAGGCGTGTCGCAGCATAATAATTGTGAACTATGTTGCATGTCCGAAATAGAAAAAAACAGAAGCAATAACAACAACAGCAAGGCTTAATTAAACTACATAAACAAAGCATTAAACCAATGATTACTGCTGCATTAGCTATTCGCCTCAAGCGCTATTCAAATTGACGATGCGCCCCTCTGTGCGATTCTCACTGTTTGCTGTGAAGCTGTAAGAAGGATTGAGCTGGAGTAAGAGCTATAGCAGCTAAATTATATAGTACTCTACTCTACTCTACTCCTATATACCAGATATACTGAATAGTACTCTACTCTACTCCTGCTCCTACTTCTAAGTTCTTCTTTAGTTATCGCTCATA